CCGAGATATCTACCAAGACCTCCACAACTAATTGATGGCGGTCACACTGCAATTGCAAAAGTAAGTGAACTTTTCTACAGAGGAACTAAAATATAGAGTCGACCTTTGATATAGCAGATTATAAGACCAAAAGATGTGGAAGAGATACTCAATTGATCAAGCTTCTGGCATGAGCTAGGTACTTAGAGATTCCAATTGGAAAATAGCTTCGCTATTTCATCGGTTCACAATCACCCACTGCTTTCAAAAACAGTACCTTTTTCTAAACTCTTACCATTTATTCCATCTTCTCATTTTCACTAGCTCACCCGATTTTAAACTCAACTCAAATATTTTTGGGTAAAGATAATTAGTGTTTAGTCAAAAGAATTTGTTTTCATGGGAAAAAGTATAAATACAAATCACCCATAAATTAAGAATTTCAAAAATGACCTGAAATCATCAATAAATTTTTAAAACTATTAAAAATATCAAAGGTGTGGTGGCCAAGTGGTAACATAAGGGAGTTGATTACCTTGTGCACTGGGTTCAAACCACTTTTGGTACAGAGGGTTAATCTTTAAAGCGGATTATCTAAAGACTTATTCCGGATACCGAGAAAATTATGTTCCAAAAGTTCGAAACACCCACGGTTTATAAAAAAAAAACTATTAAAATTGATATTTATCTAAAAATACTCGAAGCTCAGTGATATTTACCCGTTTGTATATTGATTGTAAATACTTCAAATACTTGTACTACATGACTACATGTCTTGTTTCTTTCAATGATTACGCTTTCAGTGGTAATTTCAAATTCCCTTTTTTATCCTACCCACTATTATCTGATCACTCCCTGAAATGAACATGTCTAATTCCAACTGTTTTGTAATTGATAGTTTACAAACAAATAAAAAATGAAGTATCGTTGTTTAAAAATTACCAAACTAAACCCATAAGAGAATTATGATATGTTGTTTTTGTTTGGAACGTTATTCTGTTTCAGTTTTGCATAGGGTTGCGAAGCCAAATTTCGCCATTGCAATTATACGGCCTTAAATATATATTTGCTAATACATTGAAAGGCTTCTATTGCCTAGGTCCTTCGTATTTTAGGCTTATGTGGTTTGGTACAGCAACTTCAGCTTCAGCAATAGAAATGGGGAGAGAAAAGTCATATCTTCGTACGGCTCCATTAATTGGTCTTGTCAAGTCCACCGACTGAAAACCTTACAAGAATATGTTTCCATGTTTTTACTTTTCTTTTTTTTTTGCAGTGAAACAATTGTGTAGGTTTAATTTATAATCTCGATTGTCATACTTGGAAGTAAAATGGGAATAGATCGGACATACAAAAAAATTGAAACTGTATTTTTGTCTGCATGCGAGTATATATTATACATGCAATATAAGTTGAAAGTTTCGAAAATAAACAAAAAAAAATGTTTTGACTAGTGTCGAATAATATTAGAGAAAACAAATAATAAGAGAAAAGTTAAGTACATGCAAAAACAAAAATACTCTCGTTTCAACAACAAATCCAAGCAACGCAGTGTTTATTTTATCCAACAAATTGAATCATCCAACGAATACACTCTTTGTTTGATAAATGTGTAAACAGAAACATAGATTTATGTTACATCCGATAAAATAGATACGAAATATTACATGATAATTCACTTAGAAGTAAAGTGAAGATAGAGAAACACACAGAGCAAGATGACCGGAAACACCAAGATAAGTGGAGGAGACGGAGGAGCCACCGGTCCCATCATCAACGGTACGAACAGTATCACTATCGCAACGATCACAACCGCCAAAATCGAACCAAACCCTAATCCATACTCATTTGCCATTTTTTTTCTTCTCTTTTGTTTCGAGTCGTTCTAAGTTTCGTGTGTTTTTGTAATATTTATAGAAAAAATTAGACATCTATTTACGGTTGTGTCGTTTTACTTAGAAATCATACACAACCTTTCGTGTATCCTTTACATGAATAACAAACCCTTTCACGTTAATAACCACCATTAACCTTAAAACGCTGCGTTTCCCCTTGTTTCTGTCACATGTCTTAAAACGCTGCGTTTTATCTGACAACTAATAGTATTTTTTTAATAAAACACAGCGTTTTGTTACACGTGTCTAAAAAAAACCTCGTCCTCATGCCCTACACAAAACGCAGCGTTTCGTTACCAATAATTCGAAATTTCAAATATTTTTGAATTTTTCGTAATCCCGCCAAAATCACCAAAAGCGAAGAATTTTTGTTTTTTAAACACATTTATGTTTTTTTTTTGTCGGCTAGTGACAAGATCCTCCATTTATCGTTTTGTGCTTCTATCCTTCAGACACATTTTTTTTTTCTTTCCCAAATCCTAAATTCTCTAGCCCTAAGATTTTCGCCGATGTCATCTTCATCGAATCGTCGCCGGCTAAAAGATGTAAACGCCGTCACGGGAGAAAACCCATCTTCAGGGAAAAAACCTTCGAGGTCTGTAACTCCACTTCCGATCTCTAGCAAGAACAATCCCAGTCCCGTTCTTCTTCAGCAATCATTATCAAGCAAAGAGAATCCGAAACCTAGTCACCGGTCTATTGGGTCGACGCAGAAGCCAGTTCTCCTCCGTCCTGTACCGCGAATCGATAAATCCGCCGCGAGAGGTGGTGTTGGTGACGGCGAAGGTCGAGTTACACGATCCACCTCTTCTGCTTTGCGAGGTAGGAGTTCTAGTCCATCTGATTTAATCAGAGTTTTCTCCGATTTGAGAAAGAGAAATGAATCTAGGGTTATTGGGGAAAAGGGTGAATCAGATCAGGTTAAGAAATCTGGGTACAAGAAATCAACCAATTCTGAGGGTTCTGGAGAAAAATCTGTTGTTGCTTCGAAATCTGATGGTAAAATTGACAAGATAGGGAAAGGTAGTAGTAGTGTGGTTTTAAGAAGAAAGTCTTTGGATAATGTTGGGAAGGCAATGGAGATGTTAAAAGAGATTAGAGGGAATGAAGGAAGCAGTAGTAATATCAGTACTAAATATCCAAGCAAGCTGCATGAGAAGCTTGCTTTTCTTGAAGGGAAGGTTAAGAAAATTGCATCAGATATCAAGAAGACGAAGGATATGTTGGATTTGAATAATCCGGATACATCTAAAGTTATAATCTCTGATATACATCAGAAGATTACAGGGATTGAAAAGTCTATGAGTCATGTTGTTGATGGTTCAGAGAAAAACAAATCTACTCAAGTGGCGAAAGGAAAAGCTTCTGTCAAAGGATTAAATAAGGAAGAGCTGGAAGATAGACTCTTTCCTCACCAGAGGTTGCTGAGGAGCAGAACTCAGTCTAAAACATCCTCACAAGTCTCAAAAGGTCATGATTCTGTTGAGTCTAACAAGGCAGTAAATGTTGAAGTAAAGCCCTTAGGTCCCGTTGAGGAGAATCCAATAGCTCTAGAGTTCTTGGCTTCACTTGACGACAAGGAAAAAGACACGTTTAGTAGTGATCAGAATGCACTGGATATTATGGAAGTGCAGGAGATGGATATGGAAGAACCGTCAAAGGAAAATGATCCTTCAAAAGATGTCAATCTGACTTCCAACTTAGCTGAAATTCTCAGAGCGGATGAAGCTCTTGAGGAAATCGATGATGAAGAGAATAGAGACGAGATGGAGCTGGAAGAGATAGAGGATGATTGCTTGTATCAACTCAATGACATTGGATCCAAAACTTCTACTGGAGGATGGTTTGTATCAGAGGGCGAGGCAGTTGTACTCGCTCATGATGATGGCTCGTGTTCCTATTACGATGTCGCCAACTGTGAGGTACTATGCTTTCATATTTTCAGTACACTATCCCTGTTTGGAACGCCTGTTGAAAACTTTATAGTATCATGTTTAACCTATACCTTGAACAATGATGGTGTAGAACATTGATATTGTATTCTCACATTGACAACAGCATACACATTTCTCAAGTTACTACGATGATCTTGTTTAACATACTGTTTCGTGATTTAGATTGGCTTTCATCTTAGACTTGCAGAAATACTTGTAACTAAAGGTGTATGTTGGCCTTTATGTTGTATGCAAAGCTCTTGAGTAATAAATGTAATTCTCTATCAATTTGAGTGGCTTTGTATGAAGTGATTGGAAATTCTTGCACTGTATATGCATTGTTATCTTTTACATCAAAGACCTGTAATCTCTTTTCAGGTGAAATCTGTGTACAACCCTCCAAGTGGCATCTCACCAAACACTTGGAGAGATTGCTGGGTAGTTCGTGCACCAGGTGCAGATGGCACCTCAGGCAGATATGTTGTAGCCGCTTCTGCTGGGAATACATTAGAGTCCGGATTCTGTTCATGGGATTTCTACACAAAAGACATAAAGGCACTCCACGTTGAGGACGGATCCTCACGAGTTTCAAGGACTGCTCTTGCTCCTTTATCCAACAACACAGCGCATGGTAGGAACACATTGGCTTGTGCACTGACACCAGAAGCTCAACAATGGTGGTACAGACCGTGTGGTCCTCTTATAGTCTCAACTGCTAGTTTCCAAAGAGTAGTTAAGGTTTTTGACATACGAGATGGGGAACAAATCATGAGATGGGAGGTACAGAATCCTGTGTCAGCTTTAGATTTTTCGAGCCCTTTACAATGGAGGAATCGAGGAAAACTTGTCGTAGCAGAAACTGAAGCAATATCTGTTTGGGATGTCAATTCCCTTCACCCTGAAGCACAGCTCACTATTTCCTCTTCAGGGCGAAAGATCTCTGCTTTTCATATCAACAACACAGACGCTGAAATTGGGGGAGGTGTTCGTCAAAGGTTAGTTCACCATTTTCGCTTCTTCCTTTTCTCCTCGCTTTGTCTCTTAAAGTGATCATATTTGAAAATGAGGAAGCTTATACTTTAGTGTCTCTTTTATTGACTTATTAGTTTGTCTTTACCTGAAATGCAGAGTAAGTTCCATGGATGCTGAAGGCAACGACGGAGTTTTCTGCACTGCTGATTCAATAAACATCATGGATTTCCGTAACCCATCTGGCATTGGTGCTAAAATCCCCAAACTCGGCGTCAATGCACAATGCGTATCATCTCGAGGAGATTCAGTATTTCTTGGATGTACCAATCTGAAATCATCATCTGTCAAGAAACAAAACCTGGCTTCTTCATCACAAGTACAACAATTCTCCTTGCGTAAACGGCGTCTCGTGAGCACTTACAGTCTCCCCGACTCAAACACTCACTCGCACCACTCTGCAATAACTCAAGTCTGGGGGAATTCAAACTTTGTCATGGCTACTTCTGGTATGGGACTTTTCGTGTTTGATACTGCAAAAGAAGAGACCTCACCACATCCTTTGACAAGTGACCATGGAAGCTTCCAAACCGTAAAAGAGATTATCGGTCCAAACGATATGTATTGCCCATCATTCGATTACTCCGGTTGTCGTGTTCTCCTCATCTCAAGAGATCGCCCGGCTCTATGGAGGCACCTCTCATAGGTAAAAGCAATAAACTTTTGAAATCCATCATTGTATATTACAATTTGTGTCAGTTGTTGATAGTTCAATTTTGATTTTCAGGTGATTTTTTCAGATGAGTTGAGTAAAATCAAGCTTAAGATGGTGTTTCAGTTACCGGATTGATTCTTCTCTTCTATTAAGAGTCTATAGAGCACAGCTTGTGCCGCTTCTTCTCTCTTGTGCTGTGTGTGTTCATACTTTTGCTCTCTGTTTTAATCTTATGAATTCACTTTTGGTGCTTTCTGCTTGTTTGACTTTAGTCTGTGTTGTGTATATATATATATCTGGTGTTCATGTTTTTTTGTGTGACATGGTTTCTTATCCCAAGAACTCAAAGATATGAAACCTATTTGGAGCCTAAAATAACAAAATTTGTGAAATGACATGAATAATGGCAAAACAATATTTTCATTAAGTTGCCCAATTTCTATCCAAAAAAAAAACAGCTTATCAGATTACTAAATCAGAGACACCTTTTTGAACAGACAAAAAAATTCCTATTGAAGGGGATTAGAGGTCTTTGTTATTTGTTATCTTTGAGCCAATCCTTAATTTATTTCCTAATATAAATTATATATAAAAAAAAAAGATTAATTTTCTCATAACCAAATCTAGATCTCCTCTGCTTCTAGCTCGTTTGTAAGTTTAAGAATCAGACAAGTTCTTCTTGAGTTATGTCGGATTTTGCTAAAGATGCATGGCGAAAATATCTGATTCAGCTCCAAGCCCACCCTTTACGAACCAAGGTTTTTTTTTTCCTTATAATACCTTCAAAATTTAAAATCAAGATTACTCTGAAAATCTTTGGTTTTGTTTGATGATCATGTGGTAATTATGAGTTTCAGGCGCTTACTGCTGGAGTTTTGGCTGGTTGTAGTGATGCCATAGCTCAGAAGATTTCTGGAGTTAAACGACTTCAGTTCCGGAGATTACTTCTTCTTATGGTTCGTTTGAAATCTTGTTCTGTTTTTGATCATTACCACTGTCTTTTTGTTTCTGAGATCTTGAAAATGTGTAATTTTTGATGATCTTTGTGTATATATAGTTGTATGGGTTTGGTTATGGTGGTCCATTTGGTCACTTCTTTCACAAATTGATGGATACCATTTTCAAAGGGAAGAACAAGGACAATACAACAGTCGCCAAAAAGGTTTTGTCTTTTTTTTTTTCTTTCTCTAATTTGGATTGTTGCATTGTTGAATCAATGTTTGGAATGTGATTCAAGAATAACTTGTTTATCGTTGATGTTGTGATGAAATGGATGAGCATTTTTCTGAATAATAATATTCTTGTGGCATGATGAAGTTGAATTTGCTTAGATACAAGTAATTGAGAAATCGTAGGTGAATCTCTCTTTTTCGATGATCGGTATAGACCAATATTCTTAACTAAAAAAACTGTGTTGGATCAGGTTTTGTTGGAACAGCTTACAATCTCTCCATGGAACAATTTCCTTTTCATGTCTTACTATGGTTTAGTAGTTGAAGGTAAGTACGATCACCGTCCAGTTTCTTTAATGTTTTGTGATTTAGAGTAAAAGATCCGTTGTTCTGCAAATGTTTCCAGGGAGGCCATGGAAGCTAGTGAAGCTCAAAGTTGGTAGAGATTATCCTACAATTCAGTTAACAGCATGGAAGGTAAAAGAGAGAAACAGCGAGTTTACGCTTATGACATTGTTCCAAAAATTTGATGGTTCTGATTTCTGTAACTTTGTATGTCTGTAACAGTTCTGGCCTATTGTGGGATGGATTAATTACCAGTATGTTCCTCTCCAATTCCGCGTCTTGTTCGGCAGCTTCATTGCTTCTTGCTGGTAAAATCTTGAATCTTTCTTTCTCAGTTTCGTTATTTGGTTTTGTCATTCAAAAAGGTTTTTTGGTAACATATTTTTCCTCATGAAACTTTTCAGGGGTATTTTCTTGAACCTGAAAGCGCGATCTGCGGTGATCAAGAACGCATAGAGAACTCAATCTGGAAGAACACAAGCCTGAACCTTTTCTTCCCCTGGAAATGAACAAAAGCTCCAAAATTTGGAGATAAACACATTGTTGAATAGATCAAATTCAGTAACTGTTGTGTTGTTTGTATCCATTATATCAATTAATCAAATTCTTT